CTCTCTCTCTCTCTCTCTCTCTCTCTCTCTCTCTCTCTCTCTCTCTCTCTCTCTCTCTCTCTCTCTCTCTCTCTCTCTCTCTCTCTCCCTCTGAGGTGTACTCCACAGCTCCATTTCTGTTTTTGCTTGATGGGTGTTTTTTTTCCCCTTTCTCGTTTTTTATTGTGGAGTATTTCAACCGCTAATTAAAATTTTATAGACATCTCTCTCTCTCTCTCTCTCTCTCTCTCTCTCTCTCTCTCTCTCTCTCTCTCTCTCTCTCTCTCTGAGGTGTACTCCACTGCTCCATTCCATTTGTGCTTGATGGTTTTCTATTTCCCTTTTCCTTGTTTCCTGTGGAGTGTTTTATCCGTTAATTTAACTTAATTAAAATTTTCTAGACATCTCTCTCTCTCTCTCTGAGGTGTACTTCAATCCTTCATTTCTGTTTTTTGGTGATGATGATGGGCCTTGACTGAGCAAGGAATGTGTGAGACGCGGCCTCAAGGTGGCAGTTGCTGGCATTCCCAAGACAGTAGGTAAGTCAGGATTTGCTTGCTTTCCCCTCCTCCCTGCTTGTCATCCCTTTTTTTTTTTTTTTTTTTTGCAAAAACACACACACAAAGCCCCATCTCTTGTGGGGTGCGTCAGTCCGGTTGCTTATCACCGGCAAGCATGAGTTCAAGCAATAGAGTTGTAAAGACAGAAATCAGCCAGACTCTTGCAGTACTAACCAGCTATCAAGGGGGGCACTGCTGCGGGCCATCCTACCCCCCCCAAACCATAGCCTCCCTGGGGGTGATTCTGGTGGCCGGGGGCCAAGTCCCACTGACCCAAAATCTCAACTTCTGACCGTAGATTCGGAAGATCAACGGCCCGAAATGAAGAATCAGCGGCAGTGGGACTTGGCCCCGGGAAGCTTACTAGCAGCACCCCCATCACGCAGCAGAAGGATGCCAGGGGTGGCAGGGCGCGGAGGGGGCGTACCTAGCAGTCGCTCAGGCCGCTTGTCTCCTCCTCAATGGCCAAAGCATCTAAGAAAGGCTAAAGCGGTGGTCAATGCTATGAGTGCCCGCCTCTCACCGTATATATGCTACCCCTAAAATAATAATAATAATAATAATAATAATAATAATATTCTAATAATAGGCTACCAGCCGGGCCGCCCGGGTCACCCTATTTTCCCGCGCGGCCCGGCCGTGCAAGGAGCAGGGAAGGCTGTCTCTTATACACATCTAGATGTGTATAAGAGACAGTATATATATTGTGTAGGTGGGCTGCTCCATAAGTGTTGCCTGGTGCTTCACTGAGTCGTTGCCTTGTTGCGGTGTCTTGCTTGTGGTGAAGGCTGACCACTTTCAACAAGGGTAGAAGAGTCCATGACTCAAAGCATCAAGGTGGGGATTTCGCGAAGTGTTGAGGGTTCAGCCTCCTGATGAATTGGTGCAAGCGCGATGAAACAGTCTATCATCATCCGTTGTATGTTTTTTTTTGCACTCTTTGTTAGTTTTGGTACTTGTACTTTTTTCTTCTCTGCTGATGTTTGCCTTTGCTTTGTTTCTTTGGCTTGGTGCCTTTTCCTTCTCTGCCTTGTGCTGTTTGTCTGCCCACCCAATTCCCCCGTTGCGGCCGCTTGTCGCCAATACCACTTTGCCTCCCGCCTTTTGCTTCACAGTTGTTTGTCTGCCTTTTCCTTTGCTCGCTTGTGCAGGTCGTCTGCCCACCTGCCTCCTCCGTGCCCTCGAGCTGGTGTCCCTTGCTGCTGCTTGTTATTGATGCCTTGTTGCCTCCCGCCCTTTGCTGCACTGTCGTTTGTCTGCCTTTTCCTTTGCTAGCTTGTGTGGGTCGTCTGCCCACCTGCCTTCACCATGCCCTCCAGCCTGTGTCCTTCGCTGCCACTTGTCGTCCAATATCGTGTTGCTCATGCCCGCTGCGTCGCCATCTTTCTAAGTACTTATTTGACATATATGTTTTTCGAACTTTTTCCTTGCTTCCTGCTTTGCCTCGTTCTGCTGCACTGCCCTGATGACTTTTGCCTTGCAGCTTTTTGCCTCACTGTTTTTGCTTTGCCGGCTTTGGGCTTGATGCCTTCTGTCTCGCTGTCTTGTTTTTGCTTGCTGCTTGCCTTGTTGCTTTGCTGCCTCTTGCCCCTCTTCCTGTTGCCGTGCTACCTTGCTACTTCGCTGCCCCATTTCTTGTTGTGCTGCTTCATAGTGCTACCCTACTGCCTACCTTGCTGTTCATCCTCCAGTATTATGAACCTTGTGGCCTTTTTTTTTTTTTTTTTTTTTTTTTTGGAAMAAAACTCCAATCTATTTGTGGGGAGCAGCACGTGCTGGGAACCGGGCCCAACGTCCCATAGAAAAACACGTATAGATACTATAGAACAAATCGAGATACGGGGGCCATTACCCGGCTGTGCCTTGCGGCCTTTGTATGACACTATTTGCTACAGTGCGTTCCTTTCACGGCGTATTTGGGTGCGGGCTCATTTCCGAGTGTGTCTTTCAAGCGTACAGTTGGACTCAACATGTGATGATGCTATCACAGAAGTATTACCCCTGCTATCACACAAACACACATTTTTTGTGCAGGCGATTTAACTGACATTTCGTTAAAACTGACATTTTTTTTGTGAATTCACAAAAGTGGAAGTAGTCTGAATTTTTCATTGCTTATTGGGTGAGAAAGTGGTTGTCTCACTTTGTCCATCTGATGTACCTCAACGTAAAGTACCGTTAACATAAATCCGATGATCAGATCATCGGGAGTTGCCACGCCACCCGATGATCTGATCATCCGACATCATGGGGACAAAGAAAAAAACACTAAAAAATGTTGTTTTGTTGGTACGCTCAATTTCGAGAATTTAGAAAAAAATGTCAGTTTTCACGAAATGTCAGTTATTTTGCAATGCTCGTTCTCGTCAGTTCTGAAGCATGTTTATGAAGTAGGGGACCACCGCACACACATGACCTCACTCCAGCTGATTCTCCCATCCCTAACCTTGCATGTTTATGGAGGAGGAAGGAGTGGATTTGTGCACATTGTAGTACCTGATTTGTGCCGTTAAACCTTCTTCCCGACCCATTAGCTAAGGCCTATGGGACCATGATTATGTGATGACGTGGACGAAAAAAAATGAAGGAGTAGAGAGCGGCACTGTTTATCTTTTTTTTTTTTATTGTTCCGGAGTACCGTCTTCACCGGAGTAAAATTTTCCCGGCATTGCACCTGTATTATGTATTTGGGGGCGCCTTTCAGCCTAGGTGCATCGATAATGACTGGGTGTTCTATTTGGGTGAGGACGATAGCGATTTATCTTATCTTATGGGCCTTATGGTTAGTGTGTTTCGGCAAACTTTTCACTACAGGTGGGATACAACGTGGTGTATTTGGGGCAACTTTCAGTCTAGGTACAGTGATAATGACCGGGCGTTTGGCTTTGGGTGTCCCAGGTGTACATTATAGGAGGCGATGGTACACAACGTGGTGCTGTGAAGATCCACAAAGTGAGTTGTCAATTTATTGGATTCCCGTTTGTGATAGTCCCAACTTGTCTTTTTTTTTTTTTTTTTTTTTTTTTTCCCTTTTTKTTTCCTTTTTTTTTYTTTTYTTTTTAACCGTCCTCCTCGGTGTTAGTGGTGCTGGTAAGAGCAGACACCACTAGCACCTGGGAGGAGGCTCCATCTATTGGTGGAGAGCTTCACCTGCTGGAAAGCGGGTCCAGCGTCCTTTTTTACAGACTGAGTTTGAAATTTGAATACATGATGCTCCTGCCAGCATTGATTGCCCTGGAACCCCAGGGGATTAACTGCGCAGGGAGGGGGAGAACCTCTTCACCCAGAAACAGGCGCCAGACTCTTACTTGTCCCTTACGGACTGATTCATTCTGCATACATTATGAAGGACATGCCAGGAGTAGGACTGAACAGAACGGGAAAGGAAAGGGATAGAATGAAAAAGTCCCAGCTTGACCCTTAAAAAAAAAAAAGAAAAAAAAAAAAAGAGATTTGAACACATTTCCTCTCTCTGATAATACCAACTCTATCCCATTGTGAGCTACATGTCCCCCTTAGCTCGTCCTTACTTAGTGACACATTGTGCGCAATGTAGTCCGTAATTCCTAAGTAAGGAGGTCGATATTGTGCGAAATCGAGAGAGAATATTGTGCGCAATGTAGAGAGATAATAAGATATTGTGTGCAATGTAATCCATAATTCGTACACAGAGCTTAAAGCCTTAAACCGCCAGTACTTCCTAAGGTCCCTGGGTTAACACGACTTAACAGGCTTAAACCACCAGTACTTTTTAAAGTCGAGGTAGTAAACAAGCCGCCGGGATGATGAATGTACCGGCCCAATACATTGGCTCGGTTCGTTCGAGCAGAAGCTCTTCTACTCTATTTTTTTCCGCGGCCGATGTACTGGCCAAGTACTGGTGGTTTTTTAACCGTGTCCAATACTGAAAGCATGATTTTTTCGCCAAATTGATTCAAATGTCAATAGGGTTGAACAGGCCTTAGGGTTTTCTTATAATTGCACTGACAATCAACTCTGAAAGTTCGGGCCTCCGTTACCCCCCCCCCGTCTGTCAATTAAGTACGGGGGATATCTAGTGCGCGATGGAGAGAGATATTTTGCGCAAGGTATTCCATAATTCCTTAGCCTGGGAAAAAATAATAATAAAAAGAATCCTAAGTTTCTTAACAGAGGATGGAAAATAAAAAAGATGATGATCTCAGGAGTGAGAGCCTGAGAGGATGAACTCAGAAGTCAAAAGTCAAAAGTCAAAAGCTGAAAAAGTCAACTAAAAAATTGTCCACTTGAAGAAGATTCAAAATTTTAGACTCCCCACTTTGTTGAAGTTTGTTCCACTTTTCCATTCCTTTTTGTTTTTTTCCCCCTTTGTGCGGGCACTGCACAGTAATTCATGTGGTAATTAGTGTTTTTTTTTTTTTTTTTTAAATGACAGAGCCTCTTGGCTCTGGCTCCTACCATTGTGGGGAGCAACAGTCCGGTTCCTATTCCCCCGGCAAGTCAAAATGGAATACATGAGCGATTCACGCACGCTACTCCCCATTATGGCTGGGAGGCCCGAGTGGACGGCATTGATTACTTCGCTGCGGAAGGATGTACCAGCCCCCGCCCCTGCCTGAGTTAGCCTGTACTACTTATTTGGTGGCTGCTGTCTGATTATCTTGCTACTATCCTGTTTCACTCTGCTGTGCTGTTGGAGAGTTGTTGTAATCGACTAAAGGTGTCTGAGGCCTATGTGGACTTCATACTAGTATCTCTACCTCTTTAGGTTCTACTTGTCTAATTTTCCGACTGGGCCCTAAACCCTAAACCCTCGGCTGTGTGTGTAGTGTTTTGGTGTGGTTGCAGGGGTTGGGTTGAAGTCTGAGTGATGCTAGAAAAGGGGGTGTTGTTTGGGGTTCGGTGGGGGTGATCTTGGTAGGGGTTGAGTTAAGGCCTAGGGGGGGTTGGGTTGGGTGGTTTTCGGCTGGTTGTGGTGTGCTGAGTGATGTAGGGGGGATATGTGATGAGAGGGGAGGGGAGGGAAGGGGTGATCGGATACTGTGGAGG